CACAGGTGCATTGATGGCTGCATTACGGTGTTGACATTCATGCGCTTACCTTCTGCATTTTCTCTTACACTCTCAACTTCTCTGTCAATTCCCTCTGAAATAAAAAGGGGGGAAATTTTGTCCTTATATTATAGTTCACTGTTGTGTTAGAGAAAATTCACATAAACAGTCTATCTTGTTTTCTGTGGGATTACCACATCAACAGTCCGATTGTTATGTGACATTCATATCAACCTACAGAGGTTTGCATATCTTGATTCTGATTCAACAACGGTATCCGGGAGCCTAAGGGTGAATTAAATAAGTTCAAATTTTTAAAATCCCGAGATTTTGTTTCTCCGCTCCTACAGAAAGTACTTCATGACCTACATAATGGTACTCAGACAGGAATGTACATTGACTAGAAACTATGATGATGATAGGCGAGAATTGCAGGATTATGCAGTGGGCAACATTATTGGGTGCAATTTCAACAACATTTTTAGATAATAATAATAATAATAATAATAATAGTCTTTAATAATTCATAAGATAAAACTACATCTTATGTTACAAAACTTCCAATTTTTAACTGAGTTACATTGTAATAATTACAGAGCTAAATAAATTAATTATTATTTTTTTAAGAACTTTTTAAAGAAGTAGAAATTTAGGAATACAAGATTTTATTCTTTTTTAACTTGTTTCTTTTTTAATATCAGAGACGGATGATTGTCTTTTGTAATGACTTAATTTAAAACTCTGGACCGCCTGCAAGAGTTATTGATCACATCTGTGACCTTTCATGCGAAAACGTGCTATAACGACTTTCCGTTCAACGGGTGAAACGAACGGCCATCGAACGGGTTACAAACGGGTCACCAAGCCGTTTTAAACGGGTTTCAATGAGTGTTCGAACGGGTGATTAAGTATTCCGAACGGGTAGCTTAGCTGTTCGAACGGCTCGGGGAAAATTGCGAACGGGTTGCCTAACCGTTCGAACGGGTCGTAGAACATTCCGAACGGGTAACCAAACCGTTCGAAGGGCTCATAAAAAATTCCGAACGGGTAACCAAACCGTTCGAACGGCTCATAAAAAAATTCCGAACGGATATCTAAACCGTTCGAACGGCTCAGAAAAGAATTTCGAACGGGCGATCTAAACGTTCGAACGGTTCATGAAATCTTCGAACGAGCAGTCACGAACGGCTTACAAACTTGATGATTGTAATTTGTTTTGTTTATTTCGAATGGTGCTGTGCCGCTACACATCTCATTAATTTCGAAGGGATGGCTTTCAATCGTTGAAACTGCTCCTGTTTATTTCACCACTGAAAGCCAAAGAAAGTAAACTTGAAACGCAGAGAACATTCGTAACTGAGTTTGCTGAAGCGGAACTCGAAAGAAAATCAACGGCGAATGCAAACTTGCAAAGTATTTGCGGTGATGTTTTTCCTAGCTTTCTTACAAAACAAATACCCAACTTTTTGTTCCCGATACATTTTGAAATTGTATGCTATGCTGACCTTTACTTTTGACTACGACTCAAACGCATTCCCGTCAGTTCATTTCGGTTGCGTGTCACTACACCGATCTCGATAAATTTGCATACAAGTTACACAACAGTGACAGGTAACACAACACCAGCCAATCGCATAAATCACTTTGACAGTCGGACGCAAATTCAGGGCGTCAAAACAACATGGTTATTATCTCAGTGCATGCTTTCATTCAGTGGATTCTCTTCGAAATAAGAGGAATACACCAGGCAGACTCATGAGATTTCAGAAAATCATTTATGTGCTTATCACAACCATAGTTATACCGGTAATGTTTATAAAGCGCATTGTAACACAGGGTAGAATTTAAGAAGTTCGCTTCTATTCTTTGTTTGCAACCACGTGACCAAAAATTACTACGTCATCTGCCGGCGCCATGTTGGGGGATAACCAGACCATCAAGATGGCTGCCATGCAGAGTGAGCCGGACGAAAACGTGCAGTTTTCGGATTATTTTGCGGGTCTAGATGGCCCATCGAAATTAAGATATAGGGAAAAAGTTAGTATATGTGGGTTCGACCCTTATTCGTTAAAGAAAAGTGATTACAGTGAAAATGTGGAGCTTCTACCGAGTGTGCAGTATCCGGATATCGTGAATTATTTAGTCTTGCAAACCTCGTGGGCGACAAAAAGCCAAATGAAGGCCTACAAGTCGATGGATGCATATAATTTTTTCGCCTCTGGCTGGGTGAACACCCTCTACATGCGATGTGTTGGTACAGATAAAGTTGTTGTGTTTGCGAGGGTGAGTCAAGATGAGCTTATTTCTTTGTTCCCTGTTTTAACATTTTCACTGCATGTTATTCCTAGCTTTGTCAGTGACAGATTTTCGTTTATGTGTACAACTACTTTCAGGTGATACAAATAAAATGTTGAGTTCAGCTAATTTGAAGGCTGTGATATGTTTTTCTCTGAGATGAAGAATTTATTTGGATAAATATTGTAAAATATCTGCAGTGGTTTTCAGTTCATCCTTGTGTTAAATTTTGTTTTCCTCTTTCTGGGTAATAGTAATGTGTGATAATAAGCTTAGAACCAAAGATAAGATTGAACCGGGGATGGATTCTTTTGTTTTCAACTTCATTGTTTTGTAAGACATGTACAAATGGCAGGGTTTTCTTAATTTGCATTATTTATGGGATACCTTGAACAGGTAAACCACTCACAGAGAGCAAGGGATACCCCTCTTAAAGTATGGTTTTTGGTCGAAAAAGATGGCACTGTTATAGCAGCCCACTGTGATTGTATGGCAGGATTGTGTGAAGCTTGTTCGCATGTTGGTGCAGTGCTTTTTGCTGTAGAGTCTGGTGTTAGAATTAGAGATTCCACCACTTGCACACAAGAAAAAAGCAAATGGATGCTCCCTAGTCATGTGAGAGAAATCCCCTACTTACCTGTATGTGATATGGATTTTACATCCGCAAAGAAGAAGTATGATTTGATGGTGGAAAATGAAGTTACCCCTAGTGGGACTAGGTCGGACCCTGGGATCAAAACTACTGGGATACCCGCACCAACTGCTGATGAGCAGAAATTTTTTTTTGAAAGCATATCTAAGACTCAAGTGAAACCTGCAGTACTGTCCCTTGTACCACCATTTAATGAGCAGTTTGCATGTAAAGAAATTGACAATCTGCCAAAGTCTCTTCCTGATAGGTTGTATAGAGAAGAATGTGTTGTGCTGGAATATGAGGAGTTACTGCAATGCTGTAAGCCAGTAGTTCTTGAGGTTACACCAGGGGAATGTCGAGCAATAGAGGCTTCAACTAGGAAGCAGTCACAAAGTCAAGTTTGGTACCAGCAAAGGGCAGGTCGTGTAACCGCTTCCAAACTTAAATCTGTTTGCAGCACAAATCCAGCAAAACCTGCAAAGAGTCTGGTTAAGTCAATATGTTACCCTGAAGCCCATAAGTTTTCAACTGCAGCCACAAGGTGGGGATGTAGAAATGACGGTAGGGCACGTGAAGCTTACCAGAAATCAATAGGTCAGTTCCATGAGTCTTTAACAATTTCAGACAGTTGTCTAAATGTTGATCCAAGGTGGCCATACTTGGGAGCTTCCCCTGATGGGTTTGTAAATTGCAAATGCTGTGGGCAGGGTGTATGTGAAATAAAATGTCCATATGCCTATAAGGATGCAGTAATTTCTGATGCTGCTGGCAAGAAAAACTTTTGTTTAAAAAAAGATGAACTTGGTAACATTTACCTGGACAAATCGCATGCTTATTACTACCAAGTTCAAGCACAGATATTTATCTGTGGCATCGAATATTGCGACTTTGTAGTGTGGACAATGCAAGATCTTTTTGTGCAGCGAATTCTTCCTGATCGAGAGCTTTGGGCCAATTCACTACGCGCTGCCACCGAATTTTTTAACAAATGCCTTTTGCCTGAAATGGTGGGTAAGTGTTACACTCGTCCAGGTTGTCAAGTTCAAACCCACATTGACTCACCATCATCAACATGTGATGAAGACGATGTGGAAGGGCCTTGGTGCTACTGTCAGCGACATGTGGAAGGAAGCACATTAATCGGGTGTGACAATGATACATGCCAGATAAAATGGTACCACATGTCGTGTTTGGGGATGAAAGAACTGCCTGAAGGAGACTGGTTCTGTCCAACTTGCCATAAGCTAACATAAACAGACTACAATCCTGATCAAAACGTTTAGGACACTTTGTGTTTCAGGTGAGGAAAATGTGCTTCAAGGTTTCCCCCCTCCTCCCCTGAACAGTGCTGGGTGTTACAAGTCAAACCCCTTTTCACATATCTTGCAAACGTTAAGGACCTCAACTTTGTTCGGGGGCGGGGGGGGGGGATTCTTGTTAAGGCCGTGTTTATGAGTGTCTTTTGCAGGATGGCTGCACATTCCATACAAAAACATGTGAACAAGGGGAGGTGTCCCAAAACCATTTGACTGGGATTGTAGCATTATTTAAACATGATGTTCATTTATTTGTAACAAGTGAAGGTGCTCCATCCATTGACATAATTATAAGACACTGGTTAGCCCACCTTAAATTTTTTGAGAAGTGTTTTATTTGTTACGTGATCTGTATGTATTATGTTAACTCCTGGCTTTTCAGAGGTGCTCCTTAAAGCTGTTTTTTTCAAATTCAGTACTCAATAACAAATCAGAATTACAACTGAATAGAAAATTGCTGGTAAGCATCCCCCTAACTGCACCATTTTGATTATGGGAGAGTTGAAAAATTATTAACCCTTTAAGGCTCAAGAATGATCAACTTCAGTTTTCCTCAAACAATATTGAGACATAATCAGAGAAAAGGTTTTGAGAATTAATTTAATGTTCACCTAAGGAAAATGCTTTGATCCTTTAACAAATTATTTCAACTAATTCATTAAGGAAATGTTTGGAGATCACTCTGAAGAATTTCTGTGGTGATATTGAGGCTTAAAGGGTTAAAATTTGTACAGACAGTAACTGATACATTCATC